GACAGCTGACCCAAACTGGCCAAAGGGATATTCCATACCATATGACATCATGCTCAGTATATAAGCCGGGGGTATTTGGCCATGGGGCAGTGACCGCTGCTCGGGGACTGGCTGGGCGTCGGTCGGTGGGTGGTGAGCAATTGCATCAATTTTTTTTTCTTTCCCTGTTTTTTGTTTGTTTGCTTGTTTTTCTCTCTCTCTTGTTGTTTTATTTTCCATTACAATATTATTATTATTTCAAGTATTAAACTGTTCTTATCTCAACCCACAAGTTTTCTTACTTTTGCTTTTCCAATTTTCTCCCCCATCCCACTGTGGGGAGGGAGGGGAGGGAGAGCAAGCAGCTCTGTGGTGCTTAGCTGCCAACGTGGGGTTAAACCACAACAGCATGCTAATGACTTTGAGGCCCACACTGTTTTCAGAAGTACTTTAGGTACCCAGACTCCTGTATCTCTTTGACTTTCACCATGGGTATAGCTATGTTAACAAATCACCTCAAGGCAAGCAAGGACTTGGCTTTACAAAGTGCAAGCTAGTGTGTGGCAACACCATGCTGACAAATGGTGTCCCTCCAAAATGCTGTAAAATTACCTATGGGAGACGAGCTTACACACAGCTCACCATACAATAGCTAACACTCTGTAAAATCAGCCCCAATTTGCCTCATGGGAGCTTGTTTGTGCAGCCATGCCCTTAGGCATTTGGAAGTTTCACCCTAGAACTGTTCAGAACCTTCCTATTTTTGCTCCTGAATTTAATATGGTGACACTTATCAAAAATAACTATATTTATCTTCCCGCTCATATACTCTCCAAGGCTTGGAATTCTCAGCTTTATATTTCAGAAGTGTATCACATAGCTTAAAGTTTAAATATCTGATTTGATTTTTATGTAACAGCATACATTATTTAGCATAACAAAAATGATGTGTGCTATGTAAGTTTTCCTTTAATGACAAAGGAGACGAGTTCCTTGAAGATGGTTAATGTGCATTCACGGGCACATGATGAGTGGTTTCATGTCTAATTTCAGAGTAATGAAAAATGTATAGTAATATATGCTAAAATAATTTGTTGTTATATAATATGTTGTATCCCAGGGATACGTCTGAATGTCACTTGCAACCGTTTAAACAGAGGAAGGTTGATTTTGCCATGGCCCATAAAGAACTAATTGAATATTTGCTTTGTTTAATCCTATTAGGTAAGCTCTGTGCCATCAAAATATTCCAGGATTTATACGAATGTCAGGGATGCTGATCCCTAATTACTTCTTACATTACACAACACAGAACTGGCAGATCAGGATTTTTTAGCCCCCAAGAAGTCTGTGGGAAATCTCTTTCCCCCCCACAATAGCGATCTGGCAGAGGCAAGCCAGGGCCAGTCGGACATGTACTGCCTGAAAACGAGCTGTCTGCTGTGTCTCCTGCTTTGGAGGAATGATTGCTTAATGCTTTCCTGTTTAGCACAGATAAAATAATACTGGTAGAGATTTCTATTAAATATATTTGCCTTGTTTCTTTTCACACACACTCATGGCATTCAGAAAAGCTTTTCCCATGGACAATATTTATATTCCCCTCCCTTCTTTCAAAGTAACGTTATCCAAAGCTCTAAGTCATTCCTCCTTATCGAGGCTGAAACCTTATATCCAAAGCTCTGCATCATTCCTCCTTATCGAGGCTGAAACCTTAAACTTGCTCCTTAGGGTCAGTTCCCAAGTTACAAAGCTTTGGGTGTCACATCTCAGTTAGAGGGCTGTGAGGCTGTGACTTGTGACTCCCACCTCCCGGCCACCTTTTAGGAAGAGCCTGCCCCAGAGGCAGAGGAGAACTGAAGTAGTCAGTGAGATAATCAAGACGTATCTCAAAATGGAAGTGGAAGTGACACCTTCCTAATTTAGCTGCTTTTATCTAGGGATGTCAGCTGGATCAAGAGGCAGGAAACGGCCCCATGGTGATGGAAACGATCCTCTCGGCTGAACAAACAGCCAGGCGAGAACTACAGCACTTAAAGGCAGCAGCCAGAGGCACAGAGCCTTAAAATGCCACTCTCAAGTTTTTTCAAAGGATTAGAAAAGAAGGAAGGAAATAGCTAGTTCACCAATTACAGAGGGAAGCCCAGTTTTCCTGCAGAAGATCAATGCTGAAATTGCTTTCAGGGCACCAGAAAGGGGTTTGTGTACTGAGCCTTGGGCCCGGAAATCCTAATTTAGGGCCAGACTATATTTCTTTTAGTCACACTGATTGTTGCCTTAAATTATGACACGCCTTACGTCAGCACTCTTCGATTAAGACACTGTGTGATGTGGCAAAACACTTAAGGTCAAGTAAGGAGTGCAGTGTGTTCAAGTTGATCTGCAGGCGCTACATCTTCTCTTTGCCTTATGCTACGGAAACATATTCTGTGCACATGCAGGACAGACGAGCACAGTTTACAAAAAAAGAAAAACCAACCAAAACCCAGCAAAAACCACGCATCAGCTTTTAAAAACTGACAAATCTAGGACAAAAAAATATTTCTTCTGGGTCGTCTAGTAGACTTACATAGCACACACTGTCCTTACTTGGTGACCTATTATTCCCTCCCCAACACCCAACTTTAATTTTTCCCCACGCTGGCTATTCTTTCACTTCAGATATTAGCTGACGGCATCAGAGCAACAGTGAAGCAGGCATGTGCCTCTGTTTGCAATGCTGGGCATAACCAGACTGCAAATAAAATGCTTTCAGCTAAGCCCATTAACCATGGCACCTACAAGCTCCTGTATCTGAGCAGATGCACATTTACACCAAAGTCTGTCTAGCGAGAACAGGCTCCTTTCCCTGTCAGTCAGCGGAAAGAAACAGGCTCTGCAGGTGGCAATTCAGAGCACCAGGAACTGGTCTCCTTTGTATGCCCAATATCATTGCTTAAAATAAATACACAAAGAAAGGTGCACTCGAAGAGGCCCATTTGGTGACTTGAACAGGTATCTATACCAATATTACTACCTCCTCCTTGGAAAATGCTATAGTGGAGGGGTCAGTATCAAATTTACACACAATTCCTGGTCTTTACAATTCATCTGAAAGTCCAAGAAAAATAGTTCCACCAGCATAATTATTTTGAGCCCTAAATAAGGACCATTTGTCAACCACCCCACTCCTGAATGACTTCCATACAAGATTACCATTCCTTAAGGTCGCTATGTGTCTTCCTGACCTTTCTCAGAGCAGAAGAATATGTCCCTGGCATGCAGTACCATGGTGAGAACCGCCATATAAATATCCAGTCTAAGAAATCAATCTTGGTTTAGTGTTAGCAGAGGAAACGGGAGAAACAGAGAGGGTATTTTAGTTCTTTGGTTCTTCGCACTGTGTGTCGGACATCTCCAAGGCCTTGTGGCTCTGCAAGCTGATCTGTGTTGACCAATGCTTGGGCCTGGGCAAAGCCTGACTCAACCAAATTGGATGGTGTGGACAGAAAGCATCCTCCAGGCGGGCCTGGTGGCAACAGCAGAGCCGTAACGGACACTGGATGCACAGTTAGTGCATGGGCTAGAAAGCAGGACTGAGGTTTGGATGTATAGACCAGTGGTTTTCATTACCACAGACCACATACCAGTTTAATCCATTACAGCATACCATTCTTAGTGTACAGGCAGCTACTGCCAGTGCACACAAGCAGTGTTTTTGCTAGCAGAAGTAGTGTAGCTCTTTGCACTGGTGAGCCAGGGAGAAAATTCATGGACAGGCAATGGGATGTCTCCTGCAAGATGCTGTCGCTACCTCTCTGCCTCGAGCTGAGGTGAGGGGGGCTGGTTTTTGTAGCATCCACAGAAATCCTTCCCTCATTCAGAGCCCCAGAAATCCAAAGTTTTCCTACAAACCTTCCTTTGCTTATCCCAGGAACCTGTTTTTGTGAGGGGCAGAGGATGGCATCTGGGCAGGCTGAAATGTATTGGGTTTTGGATATATCCCATTTGCCATTGCAGCCTACCAAGCTGCCTGTAAATCAAGCAGCCCAGCTCCCTAAGTCAGCCTCAGGGCTAGGGATCTACAAAGTGTAGGGCCCCACAGAGTTATGTCCCATGCTGTCTGAGACCTCGACCTCGTGCCAACTCTCTAGACATCAGGTGGGGCTGGGACCATAGCTCTATGTTGCTTAGGATTCAAAGGGGGAGTTCAAGGACTGCTCAAGTTATATTCAACAAGTTTGTTACCAAGCCAGGAAAAATACAACTTTCCCCACGCTGCATGGCCGGGGAGCTGAATGCTGTAGATAAGGCTCCAGCCCTAAAGCTGAGGCTTTAACTTCTGTGCAGCCTGTGCATGTGTCTGAGGTGTTTCAGGGCTTCTGTCCACTCCTGGTGTGACAGAGTGCATGGTACCGAGAGCACAGACCGCACAGTCGTACGCCACAACCACACAGATGCCAGGAGCCACGGGAACAGGAAACACCACGGTCCTACTTGTTTGCCTCGTTTTCCGGGTCTTCCTATAGGTCCTCTGTGTCCTGGTACTCCAGATTGTCCCTTTGGGCCCATCTCTCCCTTGGTGGGTGTGGAGGGAAGGAAGCAGGATGTAAGTACAGACATGCACGTTACCTTGGTTATACCTGCCTTATACAAGACAGCAGGTGGATGGTGCTCTAATTCACACGATTCCTCTAGATAGTCCTGGCACCATTTGTTTCTCAGAACTTCCAAATTATAATAAAATATTTTAAAACAAGCATAAAGTGAAAAATATCTCTCACAATTTACCCAAATTTCCCTGAAAAATCCTTTCCTAAAGAGGAAGCTAAATGGAAAGATCAGAAACATGCTCGGAGACTTGGGGAGGTCAAGGCTAGCAAAATTCTCTGACCCTTTTGGCAATATCGTGTTTTGTGGTTAAGATGCACATGTAATAAAATCACTCAGGGAAAGGAAGCTGAATTCACTCATCTTCTGGCCTCCTTAGAAGCAACCATTATTTCCTTATCCTAATTTCAGAGATAAAAGATGTGATTATATCATAAAATTATCCTCATTCAGGATTTCTATCCATAAAACAACATCTGAATTGTGATTGTTTTTTAAGTACAGAATAACGATGATATCAAAACTGGTCAGGATTACCACTGCTATTTATAGTAGTGCCATTTTGATTCAGAGTATCAAAAAGGAAATATTTATTATCTTCAAGTGAATAACACTCAAACAATTAGGTCAGTTATGAATCTATAATCGAGTTCGAACATGTTAAACAGGAGGAAGATTATGACTAAAACAATGTTCTGGGAAAAAAGAGAAACAAGAACAAACAGCTACATCTCAGAGTTTTCTCCTAAGATAAAAAGCCTAAAGAATTTGATCAAGTCCAAGAAGTGTTGGTCATTGAGTCAAGCAAGACCTTCAATGCCTTATACTTTCCAGGATGTCCCTGAAGCCATTCATTGACCTTATGCCAGCACTTAATTTCCTAATACATCACGCCCACTTACTTTTTGTCCCAGCATTCCAGGGAAGCCTATTTCTCCCTACAAAGTAAAAGGAGAAAAAGCATCAAAAAATGTGGAGTGATCTTTGACAAAGCAGCACTTTCCTTGGAAGGAAGAAAATCAAGTGCCGTGTACCCATATCGGTTAAAAAACCCGCACTGTGATTCAGCACTGCAGGTGATGCAGCAGGTGGAGAACTATAAGCAAAATTTTACTGTAAAGCCCCTTGTATGGTAACACTACTCCTCCATCTGATCCTCTGCTACCTGCTTCCTCTCCTCTGGCAAAAACATCCTGGTTGTGCTTTGTCTACAAGCAACCTCGCTACCTGGACAACTCCCAAAGCCTGCATTTGGGAATGGCATTTCTCCATTGACATGAAAAGCAGTTTACTTTTCCTTTCTTAGTTAAAAGAATCCCCAAGTCAAGAATCTCACATTTTTTCCCCCCCTTTTTTTTTTTCCTCATGGCATTATCATATCACCAGCCAAAAGCATTTTGGCAAGCTGTCATGGTTCTGGACTGCACAGGCCAGGAAAGACTGAGGTTACTTCCAGGGAAGTCCCCCTCTGCCTCATCACCCCACTATGCGCTGAGGCTGGGGGGCACATGGACATGGAGGCTGCCCCACTGCCCTCCTGTCAGGTGGGACCACTGCCTGCCCTCACCACTCTTGCCCTCCCAGGAAGATGCTTCCAGGCTCCCTTCCTCCATACCGCTTCTGGTTTTTGCTATCAGAAGTACATTAGTCCTCATGTGCACGTTCAGCTAAAGCTCACAGTCATTTGGAAAAGAAAATTACCTGGTCTCCTTTGACTCCTTTGTCACCCCTGTCACCTCTGGATCCCTGGAGAGAGATAACACGGTGACAACAGCTTAATTACTACCATTTCACAAGGAAGCAAAAAATATTTCTCTTACATGAGGTGCTATTTGGAGTCACACAGAATACAGTAACATCTCCAGAGTAAGGTATATGGTAGATACCCTAAAATGTGTCCTTATTACTTTCATTGATATTATAACAGAATTAAGAGTAAGGCTTGTAGGAAAAGGGACTCATTCTCCCCAGATAATTACTTTAAATACATGCTTTCCTGGACGTAATACTTGCAAACTTGATTTTTTTCCCCACTTGGTTTCATCCAAGTTCAGGTCCCACTGTACAGTCTTACAGTAAAAACTGTCTCTGTGCCAAAGTATATATAACCTAAATAAACCAGGCTAACAACTAAGGATTATTATGCCCATTCTACAGATGGGGAAACTGTAGTGAGGTGCGCTGTAGTAACTTGTTCATAAGAAGGCGGGCTGTAAAACTCACTTCTTTAGCAACCCAGCCCAAGGCACAAGACTCTGCTCCTTCTTGATGGTTGTTTTCATTTCTCAGTGGGACCTTTAGACTTCACTCCATCTAAATTCAATCTCATTTCTGCAGTTACTTTTTTTTACATAACTGTTTCCAATTGTTAAATTATACATTATTCTGTAGTCACACTGACCTTTTCTCCTCTAGTTCCAGGAAAACCCTAAAGGGAAAGATAGCTATTTTAATGCTTCTCGCTTTCAAGATTACCCAAGAAGCAGGACTTTCAAACTTTAAAGTGAAGAAAAAGAACAAAGCACAAATAATTAATTGCATCAACTTGTAAATGCAAATCAATACGTATAGCTTCTAAAGTTGCACTGAAACAGAACTACGAAATATGAACTAAAGGCAAGACAACTCAGCCCAAAAGCCAATGTGAAAAAGCCAGGTAAAGCCAGCAGGTTTGATATTGCTTTTAAAATTGAAACAAGAGAAATAAAATGTGACTGAAAGTGAATGAAGCCTTAAATGACAAAATTAATTCTCTAAAATAATTTTAAAAATAATCTTCCTCTTCTGTTGTTTTTTTTTCCCCCTGTGGAACATCCTTAAATTATACTTAAGTAATCTTCTAATGTGACGATGACTATAAAACTGAGTTTCTCTTTAAGAAGCATGCAATAAACAACAGTGCTCAGTTCTTCTTTCCAGTCCTTTATCTGAATAAACTAATTACGTAATTTTTTTCAAGTACCTTAAAATATTGTGGCCTAAATTTGTAAAGGCAGAGGCTATGCTATAGACAGTGATGTACGGATATTAGAACATCCAGACCAAATTATGCTTACTATCCAACTCTCAATACAAATGCATAGTTTTAGTAGACGACCAAAATGGTCTCCACAGTCTTATGAGGTGGGTGGAAAACGTTGCAGACACAAGTTAATGCTGCAGATACACTTAAGAACTCCAGTTTTCTAGTGGGATACAATTATATATGTTTTGCTTTTAAAATAAATTTTTGCATTACGGTAATTTACACCAAAGCATTTTTATGTAAAGCCAAAACCACAGCCAAGCCCAACCAGACAACATAACCTTGCTTGAAGGAGAACATATCTTTTTAGCTGTATTAGAAAAGATATATCTTGATAAATGCTTTCCAGCAAATTCATGAGGGAAGCAGCTGTCAGCAGAGCATTAGAAACCAATGTCTGAAAACGCAGCATTTGGTTAACAAACCTTGGAGCCCATTGGTCCTCTTGTACCTGGCAATCCCATCACACCCAACTCTCCCTTTTCACCCTAAAGGGGTCAATAAAGAGAGTTATTTATTGTGGCTCTCTGACGAGGTCATATTTGAACGTCTGATAGTTTAGCGGTTCAGGTTTTATGTCAAATAGTTGAGACAAGCCTGACCTTGGTGTAGCTTTGTAATGTCAGAGGTCTGTATTGCAATTGTATTCTGCCTGAGTCCTCATAAGTTATCTTATTCTTCTATTTGCATTTTCTTGGGTGTCTAACTTGTACTTCAGTTTTGCCAGATGTTATTAAAGGACATGCAAGCAAATTAGCAGCAGCAGTGCATCCTTTTAGTGCATGAAGGTGCATTGTCTCTACACAGCATCGCTTCCACTGAGTTGCAGAAAAGAAAGGTATTTTGCTGCAAGCCTTTATGGCTTGGGGAGGCATAGCAATTACTTCTGTCATAGTTCTGAGACATCATGTGCTTTACAGTGGTTTGGAGCCAGTAAATCATGAAAAGGCTTTACAACAACTTCTCTGGCTGCTGTCAGCTAATTATATCTAGGCTGAAATACGGAGTAGTCCCCACAGGCATGCAGCAGCCCTAGCAGCAGAATACAGTTGGTTCTCATTCTCCTTTGGCTTTCACTGTCCTAGTAGTGGAGAGGATTTTCACATTGGCTGCTGCCCCCGCAGAAGTTCAGAAAAAACGAAGAAACAAAGTAGGAGAAATAAGGATTGGACCAAAGCTGTGTCAAAGAAAGAGAAGACAAATAAGGAGACCCAGCTGAAGAAATAGAAGGCAGAGATGGGACTAAGAAAAAAAAAAAAAACAAATAGCAGCTTACTGGAGATTTACAGCAGGAAGAGGATGCAGCAAATGACTATAGTGAAGATAAGTATCAGGAGTTTGGGAAGATCAGAGATCAGAAGAAGAGAAAGGAAAGAGAGACATAACTGATAGAAAGGAGCGCAGAGATCTGCTGGCTTCTATTCGACTGGAGCCTTCACTGACAGGCAGGAAACTGAAATTTATAAAGACCAGAAGAAATGAAAGTGTGAACCCATCTAAAGAACAGAGGAGACAGGTATCAGAGGAGACAATAACAGCAGAAGAATTGGGATCAAACAGCAAGTAGGACTTGCAGTCAAAGTATAGGAAAAAGTATTACTACTGAATGTGATGGATGCTTCTAGGAGTGTGATGAAAAAGCATAACAACAGACAAAGAGGAGATAAAATAAAAATTAGGAAGACTTCATAAATAAAACTAGAGCTTATAAAAGGAAAAGGCCAAATTAATGTGTTTTCTGACTGCTGTGCTCTCAGTAATTGGACTGTGAGGGACCGGGGTAGTTGGACCTTCCTTCTGCCCTCACTGCTCCCGCTGTGCAAAATCACAGCACACTGCATTTTGGGGAACACCATTTCTCATCTCACAGTTCAAAGTGAACATTGGTTCCTTTTTTGTACATAGTGTCTTGTTGCTTGCCTACATTCCCACATACTATAATATGATGTTCCTCATCTAACATAGCTGTGAAGAGCTTGAGGGTCTGCTTCCCGGGTGTGGCTTGAATTCAGAAATCATCTACTACTATTCTTGCAGTAGCAAGAGCTACTGCATCACGTCCTCTGAGGTGGGAGCACCAACCTTCATGGAGCAAATGAAGAGTCAAAGATTTACTGGAAAATGCAGCTTCAAACTAAACATTGTGTGCAGTCCTTTTGCCTGATGCATACTGGATTGAAGAAAAGGAAGTTATCTCAAAAGTCCCAGTAGAAACTCCATATACTGTGGCTCCTGTGAAGAGCTGTATGCCTTTTGCATAAGGTAATACTCAGTAAAGGACTGTCCTTCAGCTTTTTTGTAATAAATGCAGATGAAGCAACCACTCTGCAGTAGCAAAGCATGTCCTGTCATTTCTTCTGCTGTTGGCTATGAAAAATCACAGGAATGAATGTTTGTTTGTATGGGAATAGACTTCGAAGATCTGATCAGCAATCCACATGGTTCGTAATCTCTTTCCCCTGACACCAACCTGGTATTTTCCCTGTGATCACATGGGCACACAGTTACACTGCCAAGAAGTACACATTCAGGCAAAGAGATCATCATAAAGGACAGTCACAAAGATGATGATCAATTTTGAAACACTGATTCATATGATTGTGAGACACCAGTGGTTATCAATGAGTCTTCATTAGATTGACTTTCAATTTCCCTTTCATGTATTTTAATCAACATAAGAGGTGCTACAGGGGCTAGGCTGAAGGTGCAGTAACCTAACCCTAGACTGGGCAGGTCTTTGCAGAGCGGTGTAAGAAATTGGACAAGCACAGAGTGTCCTTGCACTGCTGCAACTTCCCAGCCTCCGGCAGATAGTGGTTTAGAGACTTGCCGAGACAACTGTTGTGTTCAGATCGCGATGTTGAACAGGTGATCCCATGTGAATTTTAGTCTTACCTTTGGTCCCACAGGTCCAGGCCATCCTACTGGTCCTGGCATCCCAGGGATGCCCGGGGGACCTGGTCTACCCTTGAACAGAAAACACCGATTACAATGATTCACGTAACATCATTCCTACACACAGGCCTCCACTGCATACAGGAGATATGGAGGAATAAAGTCTTTTCAGGAAAAGAACTGCAAATGCTTCTTTACCTTGTTTTTAACACAAAAAATACTATATCATATTCATAATACAGTTTGTGTTGATGCTACTGGAGGAAGTGTGGGCTCGCAGAAATACCAGGTTATACCAATTCAAATAATCAGATCAGCTACAGAGTAAATCTACATGCAGTCAAAATAATAATCCTAAAACCCCGGTATCAATAGCTTAAATCCTCTTTTCATTTAATAATACGATGTAAATAAAAAAGACCTGCATATAATTAATTATATCAGTACGAATCCAATTCACATTAAGAACAGAACCAAATCTTTAACTAAGATATTCCTATTTTTATTTACTGTTATTCTTATTCTGAACATTCTCATATTGCTAGCTATAATTGCTCTTTATTAGCTACTATATGACTAGCAATAACTACATACATACAGTTACTCATGTATTTTAATTACTGCCTGTAAATCACTCTTTGAGTATCTCTTAAAATGCGGCAGATTAGTGCTATTCCACTGCTTTATGCCACTTGATTATATGATCTTAGAAATGTCATCATGACATTTGGGGCTACGAGTGACCTCCCACAAACCAGAGAGCTTTTAGCAGGAGTTACACCGTTTTATTTCCAACTTAGACAACTTCTCTTTTGGGACCTACTAATTTTTGTTAGAAGAGTTAGTACAGATGTACTGTGTTTAAGGTTTGCACTCTCTTGTAGGTTGGTGGGTGACTCTCTCTGAGACATTACTGTTTTGAACACTTGAATTTATATAAGTAATTTTTTTTACTGTAGGGCATTTGCAATTTGGATTAAAGAAAAAGACCTCTTTTGGTTATGTGTTTCATATTTATTTGAATTACTAATTGGTAGCTAGTGTTAAAATCCTTTGTATATTATTAGAAGGGTGTTAAAATCCTTGGTATATTATTAGAAAGGTACTTCTTTTCCTGGTTAGTGACTACCCCATGCATATCTCTGATTTCATCCTGCATTTCTATCTTCTTTTAAAGTTAATTACATTAAATGGAGGTACTTAGTGACTGAGATAACATATTCTGTTTCATCACATGTAGGGGCACATATTTTTGACAACGTATCATGGCTCATGTGTCACCGAGCGTAGGATTGTAGTCAGCATATTGCATCGGTGCCAAAACTCTGTAAGTGTAATCATTAATGGTTATTCCTCCTTCAGGGGTATTTGACCGAGCCTTGTTTAGACTTTGGAGGAGTACAAAGTTTGATTTTGCTTTGGGCTTTTTTTAATACACCTTTTATGATAGCTCCCATACTCTGCTTCCTCTGTCCACAGAAACATAGTTCAGGTAGTTTCCCACTCTGTTGTAATAGTCTGGCCAGAGCCGCATGCGCTTACTGAGGGAATTTGTTGAATTCAAACTAGCTGGGACAGCTCTCCAAGCCAGAGAGCCCAGCTTTCCAGCCCTGTGCCCAGAGCTCCTTACCACCCATCCTGGGTATCAGGGGAAGCAGCACAAACCTGTTAAACTTCAACATTAGCTAATTTTTATTTAACTATTGTCTGCACCCCACCCTGACAACTGCTATGTGTCAAGTATTAGATGGGTGTCTGAGACAACACCTTCGTTCATACCTTTCTTCCTGGCCTGCCAATCTCCCCCTGCCAAAGAAAGGAATATATTAGTCTCATAGGCACCACATGAAGCACAGTGGCTCATTAGTTAATGCATTTATTAAAAAAAAAAAAAAAAATTAGGAATATCTTTGTGTTCAAGACTTTGCTTCCAGAGGTAAAATGAGAAGAACTGCTTTAGTGGAGCTCTTTGGTCTTTCCTGTGTTTTTAACCCTAAATCTACAGTCACCCCCTTGTATAGCAAAGCATGTAATTACGTGCCCAGCTTCAGGTAGAAGGCTCCTTAAATATCATCATGAAACAAATGCTTTGCAGATCTGAAGCCGTACCTTAAAATATATGACTTTTAATATCTGAGCTGACCCATACAATTAACACTGCATGGGAGAGCTCTGCTTCTCACGTCCTCCCAGAGGGACAAGGCGGTCAAAGGCTGTTGGATCAGTAAGATCACTGACTTGTGCACCTGAGCTGTTTTCTTAACATGTGCTGTAGACATAGGTAGCTATAATGAGAATCCATAAAAGATATTTCAAGGTTGAAAATGAACACTGAAAGATGAAGATTTAAATTGTAGCTTCAAACCAATTCACAGCTTTACATTCAAATTAAAGCAAATCCCCACATCCAAAAGGCCCACTATTGACTAAACAGACAAAGAAAAAACACAAGACAAAGAAAAAAGACAAGAAAGAACACAAGCCCCCCCATCTCTTTCCTTGCCCCCTCAAAAATACACCAAACTCCGTAACACAAGCACTTACTTTCTCCCCTTTTGGTCCCATTATACCAGGAATTCCTTGTGGACCCTAGGGAGAAAAGTGGATGCATTAATAAGAAGGCACTGGTGGTTGTCTTCCCTCAACCCATGGCCCTGTAAGTGTCTCCTGGGAACAGTGTGAACCCCCAAGGTTGGAGTGTTGGACGTGGTGTTTGAATGTGGCCTCTAAATGCCAGGTCTGTACCATCGCTGAACGGCAGGCTGGAGAGTTGGACTGACATGAGAAGTGCAGGGTCATCTTCTAGATGAAGAAAACTGGCAAGAAAAAAGGCCTGGGGCAAAGGAAAGGTGAGAAGTTATTTGAGTCCTGAAGAATTAGCGACGAGGACACAGAGACACCACGTCAGCTGGCAAAGGAGGTCAGCCAAAGAGGTGGTAAGGGAAGTGGCATAAAACATGTGGGATGGGCTCTGCAATGTGGTATGGACATGGAGCATTGCCACCACTTCTGAATCCTGAAGCTATTTCTCTCTCTCAAATAAGGCTGATTCTCCTTTCAGGAGACTTCTTAATCTGGGTAGACCTTGAACTGCATCTCAGAAAAAAAATCAGAAAACCGGTTTTGTTTCTAGAATGCTTCAGTTCACAGACCACCTTTTATTTTTGAATGACTAAGGAAAAAAATCCCATGAGCCTGCATCAGAGGAGCATTAGATTCACCGTACAAATCACTCACTCCAGGTTTGGATCCTGGCTGTCTTATATTGTCCAAAACATGATGCAAATTGTACATGAATAGGAGCAAAGTGTACCCTCAAATGCAAATTACTACAACTCTTTTAGTCAGTAGAGTTATTTTAGGTTTTCAATAGTGTAAATCAGAATGCACCCTATTAGAGTCAGAGCCAAATTTTATTTCTTTCATTTTACTTTAGGTTACACATGGGAGGAATTATACTCTGAGTTACATCATTACAAATCTAATTCTCCTTCTTATGAAAAAGTGTTAAAATCCAGCTCTGAGTCAACAATATGAGCTTTTACAACTCCTTTGAAAGTCATGCAAGCTACAGCAGAAAAGAATTCAGAAATACTTCTTAGATGTTTTTTTTTGTAATGGTAGCATTTTTTTCCAGGTGATCATTGTCATAAAAGCATTGCCCAAAGGATTGCTGGCTCTAACATTGTCCCATTATAAGACACAGTCCTGTAATTTATAGTTAAAAATTCCAAAGCCATGTTATACCCACCCTACTGTCTGCCATTGCGATAAAATCTGCCAGCCTACTCTATTTAAAAATATTCTTGGAGGGATCATAGATCATTTGGTTGCAAGATTAGTATTATTTATAGCAATGGACCTTGCAGAACAATAGAGTTAATATTACTGTTCTTCCAATTTAAGTCAGAGAGAGTATTAAGAGGATTTTTTAAAAGAAAGACAGACTGGCGAAGACTGAAATAACAACTGCTTCTTTCACACGTACTGCAACTCTGGATCATGGCCAACCACACTGCAGGGCTGTTTCATAATGCAGAGAAGACTTTTCTCAATACAGGACAGGACAAATGTTTCCCATCGCTTCTCTCTGCACATCGTCATTCACATGCTAAATGAGTTTGCCTCATCCTGCATCTCAGCAAAGCCAAAATGGCAGAACAGAAAAGTCACGGTTCATAAAACAAGACTTTGTGGCTTTCACATTGCATCTTCTAGACTATTTACAAATACCTTCTGAAGTATTGACTTCTAAATAATTAAAGCTAAGCTCTTTGCCACATAACCGAACCTTTACTGTGATGCACTGTCCTTACTTTTTAAACAGTGTTTGGCTGCTTGTTAACTTCTCAGGCTGCCAAAGCCTCAGTTACAGCTTTACTGCAGCAAAGGTCCCGTGCCGTGCCTGCTATTAGCTGTACTGTAATAAAACCGGCACCCAGAGGCCTCGAGGAAGATCACTGTCCCAAAGCACCAGGTACAGCACATAGATAGGGACTGCCTGTGCCCCAGGAGAAACTGGAAGTACCTCTCCCTGAAAAGCTGTATTTTTCTTTGGAGGGAATGGACTGGAACGGACAGGCAGATGGGTGATCTTCTCCACACTACAGAGATGTTCACAAAAACCTTCTCCCTAGAGGTGGACCATTTCCTCAGAAGATTTCTGACCTTCCTCAGAAGATTTCTGAATGTACAAATTGTAGAAAAAGAAACGGAAGCTCAAAGGGACTGATCCAAGGCTACGCAGCAAGTCAGAGGCAGAGATGTTGCAGGTCAAGCTAGGAGATCCCACATATCCTGGATTCCATCCCATTGCCCTTCTGAAGCCCCTCCTTGTCTCTGATCTGTACTGTAGGTGTTTGCCTTCTCAGGGATGTACTCCACTAACATTCAAGTTCATTGCACCTCTTGTGCATCCACTCCACAGGCTCTTTCCCTCACATAAAGGACAACAGAGTCTAAAGCAAAGAAAAAATTAGCGAAGAGCCTCTGAAGGAAGTGATGGCAGCTCCGGGATTTTTGATGGGCGCTACCCACTGTAAAACTCCACGAAAATGAAGGGTGAACTCGAAACCTACTAGAGTATGCAAGGCAGGGATGGGACCATAAGGGTAAAAAGCCTACATGATTTATGCATAGTCATATCAAAATGAAATTAAGCCAGAGTTTGGTATGCTTATTAAGTGATAAAAAGCATTTGCAGAAGATGTTTTACAGCTTTGTAAGGACCTTGGAGCAAGTGAGAGAATTATGTGGTTTAATCACAAATGCATCACTCACCTGGGGGCCAGGAGGCCCTGCGGGGCAATGGGATTCGGGCAGAGAGGAAGCCTGTATTGTCTGGAGCTCTTGACACAACTCTTTCATATCCAGGGCAAGCAGCTTCTATGTAACATAAAACATATGAGCCAACATGCAGCCATACATAGCCAGCTGGAGAAATGCATGAATAAACAGCCACCAAACGCTACAACCTCAAGAGAGATTATTTGCTCCCTTCAGGAGAAGCCTAGGGTTTGGCACAAGGTTATCTTCATGGATGCTTGAACATTAGCACTTCAGCATAGCATCCTGCCCCACGCTTCCTCCCCCTCCTCTCCCAGAGGCGTGCCGCAGCCAGGCTGTCACACGCCCCTCCCAGCCAACGTGGGACCCTGGCCTATTCTTAGACCTGACCCTGCTCTCTCCACCCCTCTTTACAAGTAGCAGCTCCTCTCCAAAAATAACATCTTTGCTCTAATAATAGACACTACGCTCAGCAAGGGGTATAGGCAGCGTGAACTTCGCTCCAGAAGATACGAACTTGTAGGCATTCATTCACTGCAGATCAGAGCTGATGCCTTTAAAGATCAATGAATGTCTAATCCTTTGACTTCAAAATTAGGCTTGCATGAGTAAGCTGCCTTATTTATGTCCTGTGACAAAAACCATCTCCCCTGGAAATGCAGACGAACACTGAGCCAGGAACACTGGGTTAACACAACTGATGTTCCGCTTCCAAGCGAAAAGCCATTTTCTAGAAAAGCTTCAACTAGACACTCCGAAGCACAAACTGCTCGTAGTGAATTCATGTGGCTCCCATCCTCCTAGTAACTACTTAGTTTTATTTCATGTTTTTATGGGGGAGATGGTGTGAAGGGTGATTTAATGCTCAGATTACTCTCTGGGCTGCTTGGAGGAATCTCAGGGGCCCTGGTTCCAACCAGGAACCAGGAGGAGTCCTCACTGAAGGAGTACATCACATTTCCTAAGGAGATCTTGTCTCTGGGCCTCCTTTCTGTGGAAACCACGGCATGAGGGGGAGGGGATGGGGAAAGGGGATGCAACTAGATTTTGGTTTGAGGGGAATAGCACCCTGAGCTCAATCCCGATCTCTCTGAAGACAACGGGTGATTTTACACTGTATTTTTTCTTAGGTTAGTTCTTGTCAGAGATCTTTCTAATCACTATTTACATAACACTAGCAATAATCACAGTATTTGCGTACGGTAAATGAATAGTAGAATTAAGAAATAGGAATTACTCAGTAGGTAGAAAAATTCTTTATGTTGGGATGGAAAATATACTGGAGTTAACAGACCCTGGCAATAAGTGCCATATCATTGTATCCTGTATGTTTCATATGTTAACATATGTGTATGGGTACATATCATATAGAGCAGGTACGTGCCTAGGTGGGTGAGTGAAAACTCCATACCACTCCATACCAAACACTTCTTTCTTGCTGCAAAATGAAATGATGGGAATAGATTCCATAGGAGGATTTCGGAACCTTCATTTCACCTACTGGGTAAGGCAAATACGATGCAAAACAGGACACATATATAATGTACACTCTGAAATCATTGTGTAGGATGGGAAATTGCCTTTCTGTCCTTACTTGGTTTGTTGCATTTCCATTTCCTTTAGTCCAGGATTGCCTTACTCTAAGGAAGGTCCCAAAACAGCGTAAGGAGAGTATTTTAAGTTACTTGAACTAACTGTTTGAATAAACCCAGCCTCATCTTATTCCTTGATTTATTTGAGATTTACTTCAAGCCCCAGTCTGGGATGTTGAATGATTGTCCTAACAGAGCCACATCAACACAGCCAGACAGGTGTGCTGAGTGACACCATGAAACAGCGCTCAAGAGGATACTTCAGTCTTTGACAAACACAAAACGTCATGTAAAAAGAAGAGAAAGGCTCTCGGGCCACACTTACAGTGCTCCAGCCGTGCCTGAAGTACGGTGGTGGAAACAGGGGCGGTGGAGGGGGGCCAAGGAGGCAGCACGCTCTGTGACTGAACTGTTTCTTCTGTTCCAAACAAGGGAGATCTGTTCAATACAAACACTCATCCATTGTCTTGAACACCACAAACATTTCTTACAGAATAAGAGGAGTTTCCACTCCACAGGATTTTTCTACATCCTGTGTGCATTGGTTTTAACAATGTAATCCAAGCAGGGATTTAAGAAACTGGATGGTCCCTAAAGTCTATAAGATCCTTCTTGTGCTGAAGGCTATGCAGAGTTTTAAGCTCTTAACGTGGCTATGACACAGGCTGAGTTTGGAAAATTTCAGATGGGCAACATTAGAAAATAGATTGAAATATTTCTCTCTCTTCCCTCCCTGTTCCAAAAGTCTATTAGAAATAGCATCTTCCGGTTCCCGTTACAGCCCGCGTGCCACCAGGAAGCACTCTGTGCTGTTACCCACCACCCTTCCCCGTGGACCGAATCAGGCACTTCTGTGATAACAGAGTGGGAAGTTGATCCACAGCACATTTGCTTATATTTCCCCTGGGACTGAAATCAGGTTGCCTTGTTTCTGAGTCATGCATCATCACTAAGGATAAATACTCTGCAACCTAGATTTAGCTGATAGCTTTGCCACCGACTGGTAAGGCAGGATCTCAGTTGTGTCTAGCAATGTATTTACCCTTTTCTAAGAGGAAAACTTCCACCAACAAAATAAGCAGCTGTGACCTAAGATTCACAGAGAAAGGATGTGAAGATGATGCTGTCTTTTTGAAGATTTATACTGTCTTTTTTCCCAAATCTATTTACTCCTTAGGTAATACATCTCTCATCAGGGTGGGGGCCTTCTGCAAAGGTTTGGCCAAGGACAGCAAATATTTATTTATGTTTGTTGGTTTATTTCTCTGGCTAGTGGCAGCTGGAATGGGTGTCTGTGAATTGAAGGGTGGCAGGGAGCCAAATACAGTAGGAAGAAAAGCCCATGGTGAAGTATCTGGTATTAATAGAAAATCTCCAAATTAAGTTTCTAGGCAGACAAACCCAACAAAATTGCTAGATTTGTGCGCAAATCAATCGCAGGCTGGATATTAGTCACATCTCAAGGTAAGGCAGATTTTCTAAGGGACTGAGATACTTCTAGTTTTTCAAATGTCTCGGAAAATGAGACATATATCAGTTCCACCATCCCGTGTTAATGGGGACAGCATTTCCCTCAGTCCTGATGCACAAAAAACAGCTGCCCAGAGGAGTGTGATTCAGCAGCATTCAGAGGTAGTTTATGTTATCCAGATTTTTTTCTCTAGCAAAACACTATTTGCGATGATACCTTTGAGAGCTGAGTCAATTAAAATCTGAAAGGATCCGTAATGAAGACTCTTTCTCAACTTTTCCTCACAAGTTTGAAACTCAACAAAAAACTTCAACTTAAGAGAAAGCTGGAAGATTTATAATAAAAAAAAGAGATATATTGTTTCATTTAAAGCTTTAAATACATACTGAAAATGCCAGTATGCTACTCTTTAAAAAGTAGCAAAGGTTTGAGTTTGCCTGTCTCCAGTTTGCACAAGCAATAAAATACAAAGATATGTAGAGTTAAGTTCTGTATTGGCTTATCCTGAATTCAGTCACTCTTATGCAGCTGTAACTAAGGTCTTAAATTTTTACCACACATACTTCTGTGGCTATCTTAATTTCAGGATCGTATTTGAACATGTTGCATTGGGACTAAATTGTATATTATTAAAGCAATGGACAGCTTGTAATTTAACAGGATATAAAATGTGTTTATTATTTTATTTTAGGCCCCATTCCAATATCATCACTTTTTCTTAGTATTACCTTATTCCATGATCTAGCTAAATTTCAATAGGATTACTATCATTCAACAAGAATAAGAATATCAAAGCTGGCCCGATGTGGCTTAGTAGCTAAGAGATCACTACCAGGCACTGTAGAAAAAGGTTTGCATTACTGCAGTTGTACAGCTACTTAAAAAAAAAAAAAAAAAAAAAAGAGT